TAATAGCTTTACCTCCATCGTTGGGAGAAGGAAGCTCCTCTGTGACAAGCTTAAAATTTTCTTCGGATGGCACACCATTTGGCACCGTATCCAGAATCCAAGTCTTAGCCAACACCATATTGTAAGAATTATTTGCCTATATAGGTACTACAAAAAATCTGCATTATTGTAAACAAAAGAAAAAAGTTTAGAAAATATGTAATCGTGTCATATCTCTACACAGACTACAGGTATGTTTGACTACATTGACTTTTACGTGCAAGTGAAATAACTAATAATATCCAAGCTTGTCTCGAGCTAGAAATAGAATGCCAACAGTTCAAAAGTATTCCGATACATATTCTAATAATGACTTCATGATAGATGGAACAGGCGCAGTTAATTGTTCAGCGACTACTGTTCAGAATAAATCACCAGTTATTAAGATATATTGATCATGAAGGAAGCTCAGATGTTAGCTGTTTTAAGCTGAAGTTTTAAATATATGCTTCTCTCGCTCCAGTTGGTGTTGAAGATAAAGGGAGACTTTTTCCAACTTTATCCATCTCTGCTAGTTAACCTTGGGATGTTCTAGCCATAACATTGCTTCAGGCTCAGACACGAAATTATCTTCTTTCTCCGTTCATGAGTCATCTAACTAAAGCCTCTGTCTGAAAGGCCTCATAAGGAATTAATTACATCAAAATGTCGTTGGACCATGACTATTATTTTGTACATTTTTAGCGCATTTTCTCATTTATGGAAAAAATGCCTTATTGTGCACGTCATGTCCGTCCGTCCGTCCGTTCGTCTACCCGTGACTTCACGTTTTCGTCGATTTTGAGAAAATGCGCTCTCTGTCACTCACTGCACTGAGTACTGAGTTACATTTTTTCCTTTTGCAATTTCCAGTCATGTTTTCTTGTTGTTCAAAAAACTATAGCCGACAGGAATCTCGCAAAAACATATAATTTCAAGGAATAATTGAATATTGCAAGTGTTAAATTCTCGAATAAAATAATTAACAGATGCTTACGATTATTTCGAAAAAATATTTTGATGTTTATGCGGTCCTCACACACATTTTTTGTGAATAATTCAAAAGGAAATTTTCCACATTTTCTATTTTATTATTCGTAAAAGGATAAATTGCGACGAGATTTACAGTATAAAATTTATGTACTGTTTCATATATGCAATTAATTCTATTTACGAGCCTCTTGCTTGTAAACTAACATCATGCTTACATGTTATATAAACATTTTAGTCCATGTTTTGACCGATATTAGCACATATTGAAACGCGTACGAATATCTAAATATTATACTCATTTTATATTATATTAATATTATTAGTCTAATTAAAGCTCCAAATTGGAAATCACTCCGAAATATGAGAAAAATCTTCCGGCGACAATAAAATTAGACAGGGTGACAGAAAAGCAACAAAAATAACAAGCATGCAACCAGTTGTATCTGAACAGATTCAAGTGACTGAACAGGTCCAATTGTGAAAGTCAACGGGTTGTAGTAGATATAGACTTATCATCTTTCGATTAGATAAGAATTAGCTCTGAAAAGGAAACAGAAACTAGGTTGCCGTACATTTGTTTTTTTTTATTATTATGCTTTATTCTTTTCAATTATTCATTCTGTTTTGCTTCTGAGGGTGAAAACAGAAACAGCGAATTAGTCCAAAAAACTTAAATTTAAAAAACTTCCCTTTGTGTCATCTAATCCGGACCTCAGCACATCATCGGATGGAATTACCTTGGTTAAATTTAACAATTTTAATTATTCAGACAGCATCTATCTGATAATGCAATTGAGGATAAGCTAGTACACAGTATTTACTTTATTGACAGATAACCACTAGAATGACCTGATCAAGCAGACTCAAACTTTACTAAGGGAAACGTGTCAGTCAGGCATGTCAAACATGAGATAAATGAAATAGAAATATTTGTCTTACATGCATGGTAAAAGGCAAGAACAGTAACCGACATTCAAGCATACCTAAAACGGAAGCGCCAGGAACGGAACCAACTTGTAGGGAATGTTTTGACCGATAAACGTAGAATTGCCAGAAGTGAACTGATTTTAAGCCAGCAGAAGCTGCATGAACTGTTGCGGAATGCTCCCTTGATTATAACGGTTTTAACCGATCAGAAACCATTCGCCTGACCTGGGTGCGAAGTCAATATAAGAGTTCCAAAAGATGATGCCTACATAGGCACTACGATGTAAATTTATTTTCCTCTTCCTATGTGAAATCCTGCACATTCGGGATTTCGCTATAAATTGTGCAAATAACATCAAATGGAAATTAGACATTACATTTATTACGCATAATTCAAGCGTGGAAAATTGAGTTAGTCTGAGTACCTGATTCAGACCGTTGTTGCTCTTTTATTTCGTGGATCTCATTTTTGACATGCCAAACTGATAGGGTAACGTGGGGCAGCGCGCCCCCCACTTTTTTTTAGACTAAATTTTTGATGAAGTTTTAATTGATACGAGGTGGTTCTTTGTTTTGTTTAAAGGTGCAACTAATGAGGAATGTATGATGTGAATTAGACGCCTATAGAGTTATTCAATTTTTAATGAAACACTATTTTGTAAAAAGTGTCAAAATGGGCCCATTGCCCCACCCCTGGGGCAATGGGCCCATGGGCTTGGGGCAAGGCGCCCACCCTTGGTCCCTTTACCACAATTGCATATTTTTCGTTTAAAAATGATAAAACAACACTTTACAGTTAAAAATAAGAAAAATGTAATAAAAAATATGACACTCATTCATTTATTAACAACTCAAAAATCATATCCATAACTTGAAAAAAATATACTCTTGGCTTAAAAAATCTATCACTGACGTGAAGAAAAATATTTCATTGACATAACATTATATATCCTTGACTTGAAAAAGATATCTTTGCGATAAAAAATTCGTCCTTGACATGAAAAAATGTATCCTTGACTAGAAAAAATATATTTAGTTGATCAGAAAAAAAACTTCGTTCCAGTTTCGTCCATAATCCAGATATTATGTGCAGAGAATTCGTACCTAATCGTGATTTCAGCCAACACCATAAAAACTCTCATCAACTTTTGGCTCATTGGTGTTGACTGAAATCAACTTTTGGCAAGGCAAGAGTCAATAACTCGAAAAGTGGTCATAAATACGCTTAGCTAGAAACTAAACCTGATGCCTTGAGGCGGCAAATCAAAAAATCATGCAATATGAAGTGTAATTTGTAATTCAAAAAGCTAGTCATAGTTTGAAAAGGTCATTGAGACAAATCTAATGATGTATAACACAAGACTTCACCATGGGCGCTTTGCCCCGTGACACGCGTGGGCCCGTTGCCCCCACTAGGTATCATTTCAATTTATATCGTGTCAACATTTTATTTTAAAAGCTAATAGTCTAAAGTTGGTCTCAAAATTATCCCTATAAATATTACTTTGAAAAAATAATTCAAAGTAATTTCAAAATCTTCATCTATAGTAATGGAAAAAAACTTTATTTAGCGGCAAAAAAATTTTTATCTGGACTAAAACAGTTATTCGCAAAGAACTTAATAACGCAAACACTTAGCAAAACGTAAATCTGTACACTTCATCCCAGTGAAACTGTCGACCGGCGGTAGAGAACACGGACCAATATCTGCCATACTTAGCGAGAAACCCGCTATGGACCCGTGACCCGCAGTGGGCTCGCTGCCCCATGTTACCCTATTTTTCTCTTAGTATGCTGCCTATCTATTTCACTAATGTCATGTTTGATATGCCTGACTGACATGTTTCTCTAAGGGAAGTTTGAGTCTCCTTGATTAAATCATTTAAGTGTTCAAGTGCCAATAAAGTAAATAATGTATTGAGATTATAATTCAATAAATATTAGTTGGATAGGCCTAGTCTGAATAGCTAGAATGATTGACTTTAAGTGAGATAATTCATTCAGTGGATTTCAACAGTGTTAGGATTTCAACAGTGTAGCAGAATTATTTTTACTTTGATTGTCTCGCTGTTTTTATATAATGTATGAGAACCTATTGCTCTTTACGCAGGTATCAAAAAGTTAGGCAAAATTTAGTCATCCCGTTTTAGTGCATTTTTTGAGCCGTCAAAACAACGTGAGAACTCTATAATCCTTATATATATGATATATGATAATCCGTATATATATAATCCTCTATAATCCTATAATATGAAATGTATGTGAAAAGCGATAACATGCATTGACAGAAAGTCAGTTTCTTGCTTAAGCCTATCTAAGGCCAGTATTGCACCCGAGATTACTAGCACTAGTTATCTATTTTAAGAATCTTATATTCGCCTTTGGGACATATAATTGCAGTAGCATACGCTGCTAGACCGGGATAAGCTCTTCGTCGCTATCCTCAATCGAGTCTTCACTCTCGCTACTAGGGTTTTTTCTTACGTTTTTGTCACTGAATTTTGTAACTTTACGTTCAGGACTTTGCAGGTTTATCTTCTTCGGATGACGAGTCCGATGCGCCAGATGAATTGTTTCTAACGCTTTGGTGGCTCAAATTTGTCACTTTGCGTTCGGGACTTGCAGGTTTATCTTCTTCGGATGACAAGTCATATGAATTCCTTGAAAAAGAAATGCCTCTTTTAGCTATGTCTTGATCTCTCCCTGAATTACGTAGTTTCTTTGGGCCACAGCAGGATTATCTGCGCCATTCACTGACTTATTTTCCAGCTCCCTTTTCTTGTTCTGCTCCGAATTTGAGGTCGACATTAAACCGAAAGAAGACTTGTTCAATCCAGATTTTGAACGTTCACTGGACGCAGATTCATTCTTTATCGCAGTAGTTAACGCTTTCCCTGGACTTGACGCCGACATCAAGCCAAGTGTAGACTTGCTCAATCCAGATTTTGAACGTTCACTGGACGCAGATTCATTCTTTATCGCAGTAGTTAACGGTTTCCTTGGACTTGACGCCGACATCAAGCCAAGTGTAGACTTGCTCAATCTAGATTTTGAACGTTCACCGGACGCAGATTCATTCTTTATCGCAGTAGTTAACGCTTTCCCTGGACTTGACGCCGACATCAAGCTAAGTGTAGACTTGCTCAATCCAGATTTTGAACGTTCACTGGAGGCAGATTCATTTTTTATCACAGTAAATGACGTCTTCCTTGGACTTGATGCTGACATTAAGCCAAGTGTAGACTTGCTCAATCCAGATTTTGAACGTTCACTGGACGCAGATGCATTTTTTGTCATAGCAAATGACGTCTTCCTTGGACTTGATGTTGAAATTAAGCCAAGCGTAGACTTGCTCAATCCTAATTTAGAACGTTGGCAAGATGCAGAATCATTTTCTGTTCTAGTAGGCAACTCCTCGTCCGAATCTTCTTCAGTGTCCATATCCGAGTATAAAGTAGGTGACGAGGTACGCGAGAGGGAGGGAATTACCTTAGTTTGCGCAGGTGGTGTCAATCCTGCATCCGTGTCCTCAGAATCCGACTCTTTCACCGAACTGCCGCTACCGCTGTTGTTGCTCCGATTGATTGCCTGCTTACTTTTCTTGGACGGAGAAGCTAATCGCGGCGATTTGTTTGAACTCATCAAACGTTGGTGCTCCTTTCCGGCGAGTTTCCGACTATTACCAGCAGCAAGCGGTGTAGACGTGCATGGCTGGTGGTCGTCATCTGTCACTTCGGAATTTTTTTGGGGCTTCCACATATCCAATAATGTAAGCGTCTTACCTGCACTAGAAGGCTCACTTAAACTGTTCTTCTTGGAGGGCTTCTTGAAAGGCGGATACTCAGAACACGGGTAATCATCTTCAAAAATATCGTTTCCAAGAAACATTTTGACAAATTTTACCCTGTTTTGGCCAATGTAAATCTTACGCTCCATCAATGACAGATCTGCCACAAATTTTTTCACTTTCTCTAAGAAATTCTTCTTCGATGATTCTACAGCTTCTTCCAGGGACACCTTTTGGCTTTCCTCGAGCTTCTTGAAAGCAATGGCAATATCTTTTGGAGTGCTTTCTGGATGTTTCGATTTGTAGTAATGAGCATAGCAGTCCTTGATTGTCAGTGGAGGAACCTTGGGTTCTCCTGGGATATTTCCAAGCATTCCCGACTCCACAAAGCTGTCTTCCAGCTCTCGCGCCTTCGATGCGATCTGAAAACACGTTGTGTGCATAACATTGAATTCGGGTACGAAAAATGGTAAGGTTGTTTCTTTCTGATACATTTTGACAGTTTGTTTGGACGCTCATATTTTTACAGCACTAGAGAGAAATGTTCAAGTGCACTAGCAGAGTAAGGCAAAATTAAGCTCTCACCTTCGAAACGACTGCCGTTTTTTTCTTGGCGGCACTGACGTTGTTCTGTTTTGGTTTTTTGGTTTCTTTCTGTTTTGGTACTTTGATGTTCATGATATCCTGGAAAAGAGCATAATTATTGGGCAAAATGAATGTGACCAGACATGGCATATTAGGCGTGATGCTACAGCAAAACCTCGACACTTAAATGAAAATTTCCTAGCAGTCTCATTACCGCGAGAATCTGTTCGGCAACTCAGGGATTTAAGTTTTATGTCGTTTAAGATTGTATATATAATATGATACACAAGATGCTTGTAATAATACGATTGTAATTTGATTCTACGAAGGTCGTTCTTCTTTTACCAGAGGAATGATGCTAAGATTCAGCAAAATAATTAACAACTCTATATTAACATTAATATTACGTCAGGATGACGGAAGCATTGCGAAGATAATATAAATTGCACGCCACTAAAATTGTATTGGTCTTCCATCCGGTAAAATAAATGCCTAATCAACAAATACGTTTTACCTTGTAATATGCTGCGGCAGGCGGCTTCAGTAAATCGTCTTTTACTGTTGGCATCCAAGCTTCAAACTTGGTTTTGAAGTCTTCTTGCATCTGCAAAAATAGTAGTAAAATGAGTATTTGCACATTTTTATAGTCAGAGTCGTCATGTCAGCACAATCCGATGCAATCTTGAATGCTTAACAACCGCTTGAATGCTTAACAACCATCTCCATAACTAATAAGATAAATTGCACCAAAAGTTTCATCTTTATGACGTAAATACCAAGAATGTAACGATAAATCCCAATAAGCAAGCTGAATTAATAAAATATTTAACAGAATTGGATGATCGATGGTCATTCCGTTTCGAGTAAAAATGTGTTATTGAGAGTTAAGTGAATGAAGCTGGTTAATAAAAATATCTTTCGAGGTGATGGAGGAAAGGATGGAGTTTACTGCAGCAGCTAGATAATGAAAAATTAAGGCTAGATTTAAATTAATGCCAATTTACTGGTTACCCGAATAAATTCGTTGCAATAGATCTTCTTGTTAGGGTGTTTCAAGAAGGCATTATATGAGAGGTTTTCTGCATTTGCGTTGTCGGGGTCCCGCAAAAAGAGATCCTTAGGACCTTTTACTTCCATGACCGGCATACCCTCGGATCTTCACAGGAATACAATACGTTACAAGATTACACAAAATATCAAAGCGAAAAAATGTAGATATGTTGTAGAACCTAATTCCAAGGTAAGGACTAACGAGAAAATAAAATAAAAATAAAATTAAAAATTCGGCATACACCAAGAGTTGCGTTAGTCTTGGAATAAATTTCAACGAAAAAATTATACAAAAAAATGATATAGAATGCCTTCAAATAATTAAGTACTTGAAAAAATGAAATGCTGTTTATTACCTACAGAGATTACTTCTGTTCATTCACTGCGCACAGCTGTATTGATAGAATATTTGAACATGCAAAATGAAGGCGAGTAACATTATTTGGCGTGTAGAAGGTTAACACGTTGACTACGATTGCTTCATCTTGTACTATTATTTCATTTTTCTACTGTTTTTAAACAGGGTTGTCATTTTTTTGGACAAATTCCATGATTTAGTTTTTCTCAATTTCGTTGGCAGGCTAAAATTTATGATAAGGGTACTTCCTAATTAAATTTTAAATACTGCAAAAAGAAAATAAATGGAATTTTTATAATGGAACCTACAAATAAACTAGTATATTTTGAGTTATCGGCCTTTTTTGTTCTCGGATTTGGCCAATTTTAGGCAACCTGAATTATGTACCACCACGTCCTGTAGAAATACATTTCGTGGTACGCATATGTACCACTTCGTAGTCAACGTGGAAAAATAATGTAAGACCTATTACAAAGGTCTGAATGCTATGCGGGTTTTCGAGTTTTTACAACTCAAACTGTCTCTCTATGCCAGTAATGCAATCATAGAACCTCGCACGTTTTAAAAAATGCAAGCTGTTCATTCAAAAACTTCGGACAGTTACAACACCTAAGATATTTCCTACTAAAACAATGCTTACTTACTTGAGGAGCATAAGCCAATCATTTTTACGGATATGGCAAAACGGCGGCTTGATCTCATCAGTGGTTTTCTTCTTGGCCTCGTTAAATTCTTCCTGTATATAAAAAAACTTCAAACACAACGATTCATATTATGAGGCAAAAAATATAAGTTAACTATGAAGGAAGAGATAATAAGTTGATAATATTAAAACATTTAGAAATGAAGAGTCATGGAAAGAAATTACACAAAAAGGAATATCATCAGAATTTTGCAAAGGAGCTCAAGAGCACATAACTTTGTGCACTGCAAAAAAGGCACGAAACAACATTAGTTTCAATTCGTTTCTATTGGAATTTTGAGGCCTCTTACAAGAATGAAATGAGTAAAACTTCACGAGCATGTTATTACTCAGTTACTCACACTCAATCTTTTGAACTCATTGTAACTGCGACGAATGTACTTCATTTTTTTCTTGTCGGAGAGATTGGCGTACTGCAGCTTGGCCTCCTTGATTGTAAGATCCTTGTGCTTCTCTCGGTAGAACTGGTGACAAGAAACCTCCATATCATAACACATTTTACAGGCAGAACATCAAACAATTTATTGTTAACGGTGAAACTGGTGGCAATAAACCCCAATATCTCAACACACTTTTCAGCCAGAACATTAAATTTGTCAAGCAATACATCATTGTAACATTTTAGAACATCGAAAAATGTATAGCATGAATCTAATATATGCAGAACAGTTCGTTCGTTTGAATGTTATCATCTAAGTTGACGCCCAATCAAGAGCTGACGCCTAGTGACATCACGATAGATTGCCTACATAAGCTGCGACTATGAATGGACCACTGGTATTAGTCAAGACCTCGTCTCGCTACTCTGGCACTCACTTGTTTCTGTTATAACATCAACGTAATCTCGGTACCCTATCAGTTGATTTTTTAATATTAGTATTAGAATGGTCTCTCCCATCATTCTTCTGCTAGAATCGCTTTAGGGAAATGGATAGAACTCTGTATTCCTAGGAACATTTAACAAACGAATATTTAACAAATGAACATTTAGTAATTATTTCTAGCGAGTGTCAGGAAAAAATGAACTGACAAACACACTTACCGTTGATTTATGACGTCGCATTGAACAAGTATTGAAAATAATTGATACAAGAAACACCGACAGCGGAAATGGTCATGATACATCACCTAGTACGTTCTTTACACTCATAACTATAAGAAACATGAGAGCAGGAAAGGAATAGAACATGAACAATCAATGACAGAATAGATCAGAAGACAGCTATGAAACTAATTTTCCGGCCAATTAGCGCAATAATTGATCAATGTTGAATTTCAATTTCGCAGTAGAACATCAAAATTAAGAAAATTAATTGAATTCATTTTATTATATCGTTAAAGTGCGCTAAGCAATCCTGCACAGTTTAATTCAGTTCTTGCTCTCACCAAAGTGTTCACAATTTTGTTGATGTGTGAGAGGAGCTGAGTTTTGCACAAATAATATTGATAACATTCCAACTAACAATAGCACCGTAGTCAGGGTCAATGGAGTAAAACAAGAATAACAATTTGTGTGCCAGGTGTCAGGGCAGCTGAAGTAACAGAAATGAGTCACTATACCAGGAATAACTGTGAAGGGCAGGAGGAAGCTAACAATGATAAATTCAACAATACTCACATGGAGCGCGGAGTGAGTCTTGATGCTTGTATCCCTGAACAATTTCCCCTGCATTCCTCTGGGGACAATCAAATCATACAATATTCATCACTGCTGCAATTCAATTATAAAATTAGTATCACGGCTCAAAAGTCAAAACACTTGCAAACACTTATTTTTGTAGTGATTACAACAATGTTTGTTTCACTTCTATTCCCCATTGCCAGTTAATAAATGATATAACTAAAAAACAGATTATCATAACTGTTATTACCCAATCACATCCCAAGCTTTCCTATGAACAGAACAAATTGATAGGTGAACTCTAAGTCAATTCCTCGTAGTGTCTTCCTACCAAGATGCTAGCTCCCAACTTAGAGGACAAACAGGCCGTTAAGGCTCACAGAATACTAATACCCCAACAAGTCAAATGTCTTTGGATTCTAATCCAAGTAGTTACGAGGAAAAATATCAAGCTTACGATTTTTCGGCAAGTTCTTGTTGGTAAGGTAACACGTAACGATTCAGCCGCTCTTCTTCCGGCAATTCAGCATACATGGCTCTTGCCGTTGTCAAGAAGTTGCCCTGGAAATGCAGATCACCAATTAATATGAACAAGCCATAGCAGTTAATGATAAAGGTCACTTGTTAGAACACAGAAACAAGTGACCACTTGTTTCTATGGTCACTTCACTTGTTACCACAAGTGACCACAAGGTCACTTGTTAGAACATAGAAACAAGGAGTCACTTACTTGTTAGAACATAGAAACAAGAGGATCATTACTTTGCTGGATTAAAGCAGATATTATGAGTTTTTTTGGAATACAGTTAACCAAGAACTGCACCCTATTAACGATCACAAGTGCGTGATTTTTCAAAGATTCCTGTGGCTGAAATAAAACAAGAACCTAACTAAGACCGCATCAAATCTCATTATGATAGCTGTGGCTCACATTCCATTGAGCCTATTCCGTTTGTGAACAAAACTTGAGATTAAGGGCTCCTGAGAATCTCAAGAAACAACCACAACTTCCCAAAAGCTAGAGCTTGGAAGTCTTTAATAATTTGAAGATAGTACCTTAAAAGAAATAATTAAAAATTGATCGACCTGCATTAGGACAGAAACTAAAATTTTTAAATGATCAAGAAATTTGAAATTTTTTTATGAAATTTTATGAAATTTATGAGTTGAAATTAAATTTCAACTCATACAATGGGATGAAGAATGCAGATGAATGTAAAATCACAGATCTAGTTTTGGTGCGTTTGCATACCTTGTCTCTGAATGTAAATGCAGCGATTTCTTACTCGATGCATAAACTCAAGGGAAAACATTTTTATTTAAATGGCAGAAGCCATGAACCAATTGAAACAAATCAAGATTCTGGAAATCAAGTCTGTAACGCAGCCTTAAGATAAGGATAGAGCAACGACTTTTTAACATTAAGAGATGGCTCAACTAATGACAGAGTATATCCAAGAGATATTACCTACCAAATTCAAAAATAATTATTCATTCTATTCTGGAATATAGTTTATTTTAGCTCACCATTTCATCTGACTATATTTATTTTTTTTTCTCGCATAAATATTTGATTTGAAATCACTTATTTCATCTAAGAAAGATTCATCAAACTTAAAGGCCTTAAGAACTACCTTACAGAAACACTACATTGTAGTGTTTCTGTTTGCTATTAGGTGGCAAACATAAAGAGCAAAATTGAGAGATACTGATTTTTCTACTGGACAGTTGCACTCACTCCTCTCTGCTTGATTTCCTCCTTTCTTTCAGCTTGGAAACGTGCAAAGGGTTGCTTCACAAAAATCTTCTTCTTCTTTTGAGGGCGAGCTTTTCTATATTGAGCAATCATTTCAGTCAGGTTCCTGATGACAAATAAGAAAAAAAATGAATCTTTAGCATACCTTGAAATAGATGCTAAACATACACAAATCAAGTAACATGTTAGAATTTCGAAACAAACCGCCAAAAAATTATGTGCAGAGAAAGATCCGGAAATTATTTGTAAGATCAACTTTCAGTAACACCTACCATTTTGTAATGCAAAATTTACACTTAAAACACCTTTACAAATCACAATAAATTACTATTAATGTAATTCTTCAATTCTCATCTTTCAATCTAAATATCAGAGGGCAAAGGCACTTGCTGCAAATTACCAGCAAAATTTGAATGTAAATGCAAGTTATCTTTTGTGAGTAAATTTTGTGATGAATTTGTGGCACCTACACACCTTGACCACAGTAGCTTACCTAATTGTGCTGAGATCAGCAAACATAACCTGGAGCTGCTTCAAACACTCATCTGCTGTGCGAGGAGGAGTCAACTTTGAGGGAAAATTCCCCCAACTAATCTTTTTCAGGCGCACTCTGTAATATAAACAGTCATGCATAAAAAAGTGCACACATACCTACGTATCACAAGAACTACCTACCAATTATTCACATTACATTTGCGTTTAGCACATAACTATTCTAGAAATTTGAACATTTGTTTAAAAGATATTGCACTATAGCTCAATAAGTCAGAACAACAAACACGTTTTGCTCCCATTCAAATCTATTTTATTTTTGGCTTGATCAAAACTGTGAAATGGAGTAATTCTAAAATTTAATTATTTATAGCTCAGGAAATTTTTCAGAGTTCAATCCAAGAGCGACTGGTTTATGCTTGTTATTTGGCAAGATTTTAGGCACCATTGATAAAGGGTTATAAATAACCTACATAGCTCAAAAATGGCAGTCCAAAAAATAACTCAATGACTAGGTAAATGATTCAACACATTTTGGTCAGTGATAAACCTTATCTCCTACAACAATGCAAGTATTTAAGTATTTAAGTTGACATTCAACTTGACAATAATGCAAACAGGCTAAGACAGAAATAAAAGATGCTAGACATTTTGCACAATACTTCAAGAAGAACTGATGCCACTTGTTTGCTTCAATCGTAAATTTACTATTTATATAAAATTAAAGAAAATTCCTCAAAATGTAATTTATAAAGATATGAAAAATTTGCATAGAATTTTCTATGCTTTTAAATATCAAGAAGAATTTCAAGCACAGCATACTAGCATTTATTAAAAAAAACTTATTTCTAATACATCAAAAAAGCAGACCTGAATGAACAGCTCTCATCAGGTTTCAATTTGAAGTATTTTGTCATTGAAGACAGAAGTTCATCCATTGCATCATCAGTCCATTTGGGGCCTGTAAATAAACGATAAATAATCAAACATTTATGATAATTTTCCAAGACTCATGACAGAGAATACAAAAAATTTTTGATACAATGACCTCTTGACTTCAAAGCTGAGCTTTGTTTCTTCAGTGATAGGTAAATTAGAATGCTTTATAAAAACCGTTACACCAATTCAATATATCAAAGACTTTCATAATGTTGAAAAACCTTTGTAAATATGAGCACTATTTTTCTGATCAAATTCCAGCATTCATGAATTACTCACTGCTATCTTGGCTTGGGAGACAATCATCTCCCTTATCTTCTTCATCCACGCTCAAAAGTTGTGCAGATTTCTGATCAAGTTTGTGTTGTTTTTTATGCTTAGAAGAGCCTGATAACTGGGGAGAACTTGAGTTGACTTCAAATGAGTTGGAAGCAGGTGTCTCAGGAACATTCTTGATGGGACTTGATTTAGACATTTTCTTCTTCTTTGTTTTGCTGCCACTGTCATCAGGGTTCAGCTTCCTATTGCCAACAGGAGTCTGTTCCTCCATGACTTCATTGTCAATTTCTTTCAAAAGAGCTGCAACTTCATGGCGATTCTTTTTGGATTTTTTGGAATTCATTGTCACTCTATATCACTGCCCTGTAAATGTATAGTAGAATAATTATTAAAGACTACAAAATTATTTTACCCAATAATGAATGCAATTATCTGCTAAAATTTCTCACCAAAACACATCCAAATCACAAAACTGGGAATGCCCTAATCCCACACACTAACTGACAACATGAAGTTAATGATAAAAATTCATGATCCAAGGTAAGCTATTGGCAAGACCAAATGCTTGCCATAGAATTGCATATATTTTTTTTTCCTCTTAGATATTGGCTGAAATTATGAACAAATTCAGATGCATTCTAGATTCTTCCCTCAGACAACTTGCCAGCAAGTTTGACCATACACCTCAATGACCTCATTCAGGAGTGAAGCTAAGAACCCTGAAGACAGATATGGCAATAATAATACCTAAAAATTTGTTCATCAGGGAAAATAGAAATCACATGTACCGTACTACATTTACCATTATTCTACCTTGCACTTACATATATTGTTGAACGGGGCAATAAGGGACAGGAGAGGGGAAACTGGGAAAGTTCTAGCCTATGACATTTTGTAAAAAGATTGTAGCAACTACGGTAAACTAATTGGCATATTGCAAAACTAAAAACAGTGGTGTAAATTTCAACATTTTTCCTATCTATATACTAATAATATAGCATAAAGCAAGTTAAGAAATCATTCATTCAATACCTCTAAATAATCCCTAAAAGGCTAAACAAAATGTGAAAAGTGAGGGGCCAATTAAAATGGTGCAAAATGCCAAGTCCTATTATGTAAGCTTACAGATACAGAAGATATGCTTTATGGCTGCTGATATGAAGCTTGCAGTGCCAGTGGACAATGTCATTGTCAATGCTCAATGGCATGTTGGTCATGTCCATGGAAACGGTAATCTCACATCAAAAAAGTAAAACTAAGTACAAATGACAGAAAATGTGACTTATTCTATACATCTACATTATCTACAAAGTAAGAGGAGAAATATGGAGTGGACTATGGTCCGTCTATGGAGTACTGTTAGAGTGTAAGTAATATACAAGTACACTCTGCATGCTTCAAACCTAATAAAATTAGGTTTTATTTTAAGTGTCCTAACTAAATTACCCTGTTCCCAGTTCCATGGGTAATTTGGGATGCTTTTCTTTTGCGTCTGGCACCTTACAACTAGCATATGGTGTCGCGTTGGAAAACGGCGAGTTTTTGACATGTCTAGTTTTAGGGGTTGAAACCTGCGAATGGCACCTGTGGCCCTTTCTTAGATGGTTTGATGCTCCTCTGGAGCTCATTCGTATTTTAGTCTTTCGGCAGCTACTGATGCCAGATTTGCACATTCAAATGTCGACAGTTTGTTCCTGTGACCATCCTAGTACCAATTTTGAATTTTTTTAACTTGCATTTACCTATTTTTAATATGAATTCATTCCCGTTGGATTTCACCAAAGTTTACTCAAGATTTGTTACGAGTTCATCACCTTGGCCTTGGGTATTCTCCTTAGTATGTTATTAGGCCACCGTTGCTTATAATGCTGTTTCTTGGAACATAGATTTCATATGTGATGATTATTTGAGAACGATTGAACTAAATGGTCTACTCATGGTTTATGTTGGAAAATTTACCTGTCTTGCTGTATTGCCTAGTGGTTACAGTTCAGAGTACCAAGATTGGAGTAGAGAGGCGCGGGTTCGATCCCAGCTCTGTGCGCGCCAGTTTCTGGTCAGAATCGGCAAGGAGGCCGGGCGGTTAAGCAAAACAGAATTGTAGCAGTGAGTTGCGAGTTCAAGCCCGCAACGAGCTGGGGATGTTCTGCAATGTTAAGAATCGGCGACAGGCCTACGGTTTAATAAACGCTGAAACCGCTATATTATATTATTATTATATTATCCTTGTTTTCAGTTTACGGACTCTGTTTCCGAAAATAAAATTGATACTTTACCGCACTTAAATTTGGAACTGATGATCCGTTAACTCGGTTAACAGTTCGAAGAAATCGAAATCCGTCAGCTAACCGAGACAGTAAATAAGAAGATATCCTCGAATGTCAGCCCGCCATGATTCGGACACCTGCATCTTCTAAATGGGCAGTAAGGCCCCGCCTGCCCTAACGTGAAGATCAGTTCACCTCGGCTTCAGACGCGTTTCAAAGCTTCGAAGCGTCGGTAAATCTTCCTACCCTGAAGACTACTCGTGATATAAAATACTGTCGAGAACAGGCTTGTGGAGCTTTATTCAGCCGTGCAATTGCTTAAAGATCAACTACTTAAATCATTTGAAAAGGCCGGTTCTCGTGAAGAGCTAGTTTCTCTCCTGAAGAAATTAGATAATTTATATATTTTAAAGTTAGATATCGAAGACAAAATCCTATCACAGAGGTGGTCTTTAACAGGTAATCCGTCGTCAGAATGAGTTTCTCCTGCGAAGGCTGGTGGCAGCCAGCGAGTCGTCACCAGTCATGCCGGGAAGTTACGTCACTCATAACCGCAAACAAATGACGAAGAATCAGAAGATGAAGAAGTACAGCTTGCACGGATAGCAGTTGAGAGAGCTATGCTCGACGCGAAAAAACGCAAGATAAAGGCTCGACGCGAGTCTAGTAGATCGCAAAGCAGCGTTTTTGTATCTTACTCCAGTCGGACCAGAGACTGGGTTGACAGGCAGCAAACCACCGTGGAACACGAGGAATACCAGACGCTGCTTAACCTTGCAGCAGCGTCTGCGAAAGCACCAGAATTGCCTGCAGCAGCCCCAGAATTGCCTGCAGCAGCCCCAGAATTGCCTGCAGCAGCCCCAGAATAGCCTGCAGCAGCCCCAGAATTGCCTGCGGCAGCCCCAGAATTGCCTGCGGCAGCAACGTCTGCAGCAGCCTCAGTAGTGCCTGCAGTAGAAATACTAGCAGCATCATTGGGAAATCTCCCGGCAGCAATGCCTGCTGAGATTCACCAACGGGTCACGTCACGCTCGCAAATGAACGATCTCCCGCCGTCAGTGCGGACGGCGCATCTAGATATATCCTGATATCCGACTTGAAGAAATTCCCTGCCCATCACTACAAGGGGGAGCCGCATTTGTTCGACAATTGGCTGAATAATTTGCAGCGTAAGATGAATAAGCTCTCGGCTGACGCGCTCGACGTCGACGCCATCGAGATACTGCAGTGTCACACAGTCGGCGCTCCCAAAAAGCTTATCGAAACTTTGTCAGTTTCAATAGGGAACGACCCCGAGTCCCAATTGCAGGATATCATCAAGGAACTAAGACATCGTTTTGGTTCCAGCCATCACGTTGCATTATCTTTACAGTAAGCTTTTGGATCTGCCCGATATTAGGGGCAATGAATCAGACCCTTCAGTTGTTCTGAAGCTGCGAGAATATAGTGACAGTTGTCTCGTTGTAAAGCATTTAATCGACTCCACTCCAGACTTACAAATACTGAATCAGGCTATTGGATTGGAACCAATTCGAAATAAACTCCCTGCTGTCAACGCTTGGCGAAGGAGGAAGGTGAGACATAAAGTGGAAAGCATCGAACATCCCAGTTTTCAAATATTCACTGAATTTCTCAGTGAATTATCGCATTCTTTATGCGAAGATTTGACTTGTTCCTTTCGTGACACAAGCACACGATCACGCACTTCTAACACGATGCCGCTCCGCGTTTTCCACGTAAAAACTGATGCTACAAAATACTGTATACTTCATAAATCGGTCACGCACGACAGTAATTCCTGTCGCACATCTGCCAAAAAGGACTCTTCGAAGAAAAGAGACAAAATTGAATTACAGTGTCGACTTTAACCGGCCATAGGGTCCCTGTGAGCGGTCGCTGCATCTCAGGCTTCAAGATAAGAGGCGTCTCGGAAGACACGCGGTATGATTTGCCACCACTACGCGAAAATAGCACGATACCTAATGACAAAGATGAAATAGCGACGCCAGAACTCGGGATTAAACATCCCGCTATAGCAGGATATAGCAACTTTTTCCTTTCTATCGACAACGATGCAAAAGTAGCAGTTCTTCTCGGCCACGACAGTGACATGCTTCTTTCCAGCACAACGGAGCAGATACAGGTACCATACGTCCATCGCACTGTTCTCGGATACGCGGTGGTAGGTTCTATTTGTCCCATGTCATATATGCACGGAGGACGCGACACGGTTGCCTTGAGAACTTCAAGTATTATATGCGATCATTTTGAGGCGACGCCGATATTTCATCCTAGGCTAAAACAGGTGAAAGACGTGTTCTCGCTGCAAGCTGATTTTGAGAGGTCAGCAGAATCTCCAGATGATAGAAAATTTTTTCAATACATGACCGAGATGCGCGAGAACGATGCAGGTTATCTTGAGGCTCCGCTCCCATTTAAGGTGGCTGACGTGAGCATGCCTGACAATCGGCTGACAGTCCTCCGTCGGCAGCAGTTGGCGTTGTCGCCTTTGAAACGGGATCCGGGAAAGCTCTCCAAATGCATGGCCGCTATGCAAAAGAATATAGAAAGAGGACATGTTGAGCAAATAACGGATCACGAAATGGATGTTGCCGCTGGGAAATCGTGGTACTTGCCAGTCTTCCCAGTTGGTCAGGCTAATAAGACGAATAAGCTCCGCTTAATCTTCGATTCAGCCGCCGTGTATTACGGCGTCAGCCTTAATGTTGTGAGGACCGGATCAAAACAATAAACTTCGCGACGTTCAGACTAAATTCCGAGAAAAACCGGTTGCATTTGTGGCTGACGTAGAGAGGATTTTTCATGCCTTTTATGTGATCCCAGCGCATCGCAATTTCTTGCGTTTCTGCTCTCAATACCAAGATGCTTCTATTCATCGGAATTTTGGAAGCCTAACATCCAAACCTTGCATATTTTTGCCGATGCATCATTAGAAGCCATAAGCTACGTGGCATATCTTCGATCCGTTGGCTGCGCTGGTGAGACGCAAGTATCATTTGTGCGGGGCGAGAGCCGTCCCGCTACGTCAGTTCCTCGTCTCGAGTTATGTGCAGCTGTGGAGGCGGTGCATGCCGGG